GTTATGTAAAATTAGTTTTCAAATGACATATTTTATTCCAGACATATCACCAGCAAGGAGTGCAGTACCCCTTCTGAAGTTCCATATGAAACTGCTGCATGCAGGCAAGTACCTGCTGATGGTGGACTGTCAGATAGGAGTGATCACATTGTCGGCTCGTACTAGGGCGATGCCCTATCGTGCGGAGATCGGGGGCGTCGTCCACAACCTCAGCTTAGGAGATGGGTACCACGCTTGCATATCTGATAGAAACAAGGATGAGCAAGCCGCTGAAAATAAATAAACGTTATGATCGTATCTTTTATTTTAAGTTTTACTATTACAAGTTATTGTTATAAGTTGTTATAAATCTTTTATTTGGAGTTTCATTATGAGATTGTAAACTTTTTCTTGAGTAGGTTTTAGATCCCGTAGTAATACTTAGTCAAGGTAAAACCTACTTTATGAATTTGGCATAAAACATCTTCTAACACTGAAACAATTTTTATAGTCTGGTCAGTTATTGTAAGAGCCTGTACGGAACAAATAAACAAAACTATTAGAATTATGAAAACTGTTCTGGGAAACAGCAAATATTAAGTTTAGATTAAGGCTTATGATATGACGTATAGTATTAAAAAGGTAACCCAACAATACCTGGTAAAATCCAACCCTGTATTCCATGCTAAGCGAACGGATGTTTCAACGAGGAATCTAGACTAGATTAAAACCATCACTCCATTGAATTTCTTCTACAACTGACTTGATTCACATGATATCTTTATTAACACATACTTAATATCGATGAAATTATTACGAGTACACTTAAATCACAAAGACTTTTTGAAATGGATGTAAACATACTGATCTACGTTTTGATAATGAATACAGAACAACACACAATGGAACAAAATATCGAAACGAAAAATGATAACAGTATAAGGGATGTTGTATTTAAAACAGTAAATAATAATGAAATATTTGTCGCTGATGTACAGGAAACAGCAATGAACACATTGGATCATGTGATAGCAAATTATACATGTAAAGTTACAGTAAATACAAACAAGATTGACACAATATAAAGCAAATTGACACGATGTAATCCATAGTAAATATTAATATTTTGTACAGTACAGACAAGACAGAGATAATTAATAATTGAGCAATAAGAGAGATTAATAACAATAATAATAAAAACGAGAAATCAAATAAAGAAATTGATCAAAATAAAAGTGAAATTGTTATAACAGATGATCAAAACATTTAGGACGTTGTAGATCAAGAATACAATCGCAATAACAAAAAATAAGAAGCAAGAAACATGTTTCTTACTACACTCCTATTGTTTTTAAGTGTATACGAAAACACAGCGCAGATGGATAACATGATTAAATATGTGAATTTAAATCTGGAAAACTATACATCTTGTGATCAATTTGTAGCAAATAGTACATTCGATCCCAGAAGTGTTATAGACATTGACTGGAAGATTTTCTATTTCTGGACTCCTAATTTGGAAGAGAGTTATAATATCAAGTTCAGTTTAGCATCTGAAGTGGTAAGTACCCACAGAGTTTGAATATTTAAATTAACCCTGTTACGTAATTTTTATATTGTGAAATGGAAAATGTTACTGTGACGCAAATAAAGAAAATATCTACGTATTTGCATCTTAAATAGCTTAATCAATAATGTCCATTACCTACCTTCGACTTATCACTACGTTTAAAGAAATACAATATATGGGACGTTGTGCTATGACGTCACATTACAGCGCTAATTTTATATGAAAAGTGCAAGTCATCATAAAACTTTAGACGCATATAATTCGACCAGTTTTGATTGTACGACATGGCCAAGTATACAAATGTATTCATTACATAGAAGGCACATAACATAACATAACATCACGCCTTTTATCCCCGAAAGGGTAGGCAGAGGTGCACACTATGCCACTGTACAATGTAACACCCACTTTTCACTATTTATGTTATGAGTCCCATGTAATAGGGGGTGAGCCTATTGCCATATACCGGGCACAATTCCAGACTTCGTGCCACTACTGAGATTTTTTTTAAAACCCAGTGATACTTTTCCCGACCCGGGAATCGACCACTCGGCCAACGAGACAAACTTAAATATTCCTTTAATAAACACTAGTAAGTAGTAATTGTTTGATGCGAATGCATGGTCTGGACCAACACATTTCTTTATATCCCTTGTGACGCGAGCAAAGCTGTTGGTTAGTAGAAGCTAGTATTCAACAGCCTATAAGTGATCACTGGTCACAAAGGCTAGTTCTTACATGCAGAAGCAAAGAAGTCATAACGCTTGAAATTGTAAGGTCCAAATGTCTTCATGATGTTTTCTTTCACAGTATATGTTGTCAACCATTCGCTAGTATTATATAATAAAAATTTCCACAGCTTGTCGATCGATTTCGTGTTGAGTTGGATAGTGAGCTTAAACCTCCTGTGAACTGGAATGACTCCATACTTTTCATGGAGACCTCCATCGACTTCAGTGCCTTGATCATTAAGACCAATGTATCGGGGATTGTCAGACTCATTCCTTCTCTAGCTTTTGAGTGTAAGTATCTTACTATCTCCTTACTAAAATTATACATTCGGAAGTTTATGTGTGTGTGTCTATATTTGTTAGCCAATTACGCCAAAACAGCTAAAGGGATCGGGATGCTATTAGAAACAAGGGTAGATTATGGTCTGGAATAACGCGTAGAGTTTTTTAACACATGGGAACGCAGTCGAAACCGTTGACAGAAGCTAGTCTTCTGTAAAGTTCACATTTCTTTGTGTAATTTGAAAATGATTTAGAGACACCCACTTTTGATTTTTTATTTATGGGTACTTATTTGGGTGAATAAGAATGACTAATTTTTATACAAATGTCCATCTGGTAGGTTATTTAAAAATATTAGACACGTATTTTTATTTTCTTACGAAAACGAATACTTTCGGAGATATATTGATTTGAAATATCGCATGACGTCACTTTTGAGTACGACTAATACTCTAAAATGACGTAGCTGCCTTCCACTCCTAAACTTTGATTCGTTTTATCTTTTTTTTTATGGTATAAGCCGGTAAACAAGCGGACGGATCACCTGATCGGTGTCGATCGATCACGGATGATAAGCAATCGGCGTCGCCCATGGACACCTGGAACACCAGAGGCGTTACAAGTACGTTACCGGCCTTTTGGGGATTAGAAGTTTGAGGATCGTTGGGGATTCAGGGTTTGGGGAGATTGGGGAAGGGGAGGATCGGGCCTCCGGTAACCTCACTCACATGACGAAATACAACGCAAGCGTTGCGTCAGTTTTCTGTGAGGCCTTGGTGTCACTCCGGTCGAGCCGGCCCATTCGTACCGAAGCATAGCTCTCCCACACTAAGTATTGTTTTCTTATACGACAAACAAAAAATACGTGTCTAATATGTTTTCATTACCTAACTGACGGACTAATTAGATTTTTAATTTTCATGCCCTGTCATCATCACTATTAAACTTAATCATTCCTTTCAGATCCTGGAGTCCCACTATTGATATTTGCTTTAAAAGTCGTGAAGCCTGGTTATCTGGGCTTCCTCAGTTGCAAATACAGACTTTGTTATGCTCTTGCGCCGGTTGATAAAATGCCCAATCATGATTATGTAAGTAACGTTCTATCGCTATCTATATAAATTAATTAAAATGTTTTTCGTTTTTATCACGTAATTGTTTAACGAGGATCCTGACTAGTTTCAAACCATTGTAGAGGCTCTTGTTCATAAGCTGGATTCCGCGACACACGACGCGATGACTGTCTTTCTGTGTAGTAGTAGTAGTAGTAGTAGTAGTAGTAAAAATAAAAAACTTATTCACAAAAATATGCGATAATTTAACTCAGTAACCTTATAGCTCTTCTAAAATAGTACCGGTGTCTCAATTTCCATCTTTTAATTTAATCTTTTTTTTTGTTTTCGTATGTTGTTCAAATCGTCTATTGTTTAATGAAATATTTACATCTTAAAATTAAGTACAACTAAACTATTAAATAAAACGAAAGTAAAAAAGGAAACATCAAAAATTTAGGCGTCAAAGTATTCGTCCGCATCACTATCACAGGGGAACGTTCCCAGAAGACTGGCAGAAGACTGGCAAAATAAGCATTGCCACGTTGAATGGCAATGCTTATTTTCTGTCCGAAGAAATAGCCAGCCACGTGTAGAGTCGATTAGCCATATTATGATTAATCTTATTTTTTTTATATTTAGTTGACTGAAGAAGCCCAAAAGATTGGGTTTTGGAGCGATTTTGGGAGAACACACACGGCAATAGTTCCCCCTCTCCCCACCCTGCCTCCGGAGCCATACAACAAGGATGATGATGATGAAGATGAGAATATGGACATGTTACACGATTATGTATTACTTTAAGACGAATTAAAATATATTTATGCCCCTTTTTGTCAACTACTCTTAAACGAACTGTTAACTAAGAGTTACTTAGCGTGAGAGAGTACCGTTATCTTTAGGTAGGTATCACTCGTACTTACGATGATGAAAACCAAATGTCGTTAAGTGTCACCTATCTTAGGTTAAGGGACTAGCTTACAATTTAAGTGTAGTTGGTGAATTAAGGCATTAACCTAATACTTGTCTAAACTTTTCTTAAACTACATAAGTAAGTTCAAAATGTAAAATATCAATGCAATTTTAAACTTAATTATTATTTATCGATGTACTTAATAAACATTTTGAGACAATTTTCGTACTTTATTGTTCTGAATTTTAAACACCACATTAACATCAATATACTATATTATGTCCACTGTTAAACAAAGACCTCTTTTCGCACGAAGGAGGTTTGAGCAACCCGCTTTGACTAAGCGTGGTGGGTTTCAAAAAGGTTCGAAACATTTAGTAATTTTTGTTTATGGAATACAGAACAAATGAGCAGGCGGATCATATGCCTTTTATCCTCGAAAGGAAAGGCAGAGGTGCACATTACGGCACTTAATACCACTGTACAATGTAACACCCACTTTTCACTATTTATGGATTGAGTCCCATATATTTACTAGGGTGTGAGTCTATTGCCATATACCATCTTCTCCTGGTAACAAAAAAAAAGCGGATCACCTGATGGTAAGCGATTAGCGCCGTCCATGGACGCCTGCAACACCAGAGGAGTCCCAACTGGATAACCGGCCCTTAGTAATTAGTACAACATAATTATTATACCTGTGTCTTCTTTCTAAGATGAAAACGTAGGTCTGTGTTACTCAGTAATATTGTTGATATTACCTTAGCTGTACGTTATTTAAACATAATTCACAGTTGTAGCACATCAACAGTACCGTACATTGTTGATAGTACACGGAAAACGAAATCGATACTTACGACTTGTTTTATAAATGCAGGGCCCCTAAACATTTGCACAGCTAAAAGATATAAGCAGTAGAGCAAAATTGAAATGATAAAATTTATTAATTTTATTATTATTATAAGGTATTAGAAGATTAAAAATACTCGGGTTCTTGAAAATCTGCATAGTTTTGTTGTTTGATTTACATTAAGCAACTTACTGTGTATGACTGATACGTGTACTTACTGAGAACTACAACGTATACCTACTAAGGGAAAAATACAAAGTTATGATTATGTAAAACGAGTTTGTCAAAGACGTACATACTCACTGTAAAGTGTTGTGCATCCCTGTGTCTTCAAATGAGCTATAAAAAGGTAAGGTTTTCATAATCACACACTTCAGGAAGAATGCATGTTTTCACGTGCGTAGTCTTTTTTGTTTTGTCAGAAGCTCAGCAGCCTGATCCCTACGACGATGAAGCTCCATCACCCATGCAGAGGAAAGTGGACGTTTATCCAGAACCTTTCGGGGAACCAGTGCCATTTGGACACATCTTCCGTGAGGGTTTCCAAGATCCCTTCGCATTAGCAAAACAGCCCATAGATGCTCTAGAACTTCGGATGAGAATGCCTAAAGATGAAGAGGAAGCAAAAAAATATTTGAAAATGGGAAGAAAAAATATTGCATTCATAAATCCAGCAATAACGAACAAATTCGCGACTGCAAAAGAAGCATTTTTGAGGGAAATGATGCAGGAGTCGCCACACGCCGTCCCTCCGGAGACAAATGAGACGCGTGTGAAGTGGTTTGATTTCGCGACAATGCGAATTAAAAATCCTCAGATACCACTAAACGTCGAATATGCTGCTAGAAGGAAAGAGGAAGCGAACCCCCGCCGCCACCCATCACGAGTACCGACGCCACTAGATCTAAGTAAGAAATTAAATTCTTTTGTTAAAGGCTCCTTCGAGCTTCAACAAGATAAACGAGAGTCACAAATGAATTGGACAACATGCGACCAGTTTGCTGTTGGAGCCATCTTTTCACACAAAGAAATTGTTAATATCAAATGGACTCCGTTTTATGTTTGGTCCACCGATGGTATGGCTTATTCTGTAGAACATGTGTTTTCGTATCCAACCAAAAAGGTGAGGTTAAAGATGAATTTTGCATATCGCTTTTAGAATCTGATGAAATCAAATTAGTTTTCTATTTTACAGCTACTAATTTTAAGTTCATTTTTAAATGAAACTTTAAGCCAGATCTGTTATATTGCAGTTAGTGAATGAGTATTTTACGACGTACAACAAGTTTTTGAATAAAACTGTTGATTGGTCCAAACCTAAGCTTTTGATGAAGGGTATAAGTGAAATGTTGTTAATAGCAGTGGACAAGAGGGGGCTGTTTGACGCTATAGTGAAGCACGAGATACCAAAATCCGCAGAAAGTAAGTTACTTACTTATTTCAAAATTTTAATAATCTATATATTGTCGTGCTTAAGATTGCAATAATTTTATGAGAATTATAAACAATCTTATATTGAATATTTCGAGTTAGTTAGCTGTTGTATGCGCAGTTGATTCTGAAAACCGTGCTCAAAGTCCAAGCTTACCTTTCATAAACAGAGTCTCATAATATTAATTGATTAGAGAAATTAACTTAATTAATATCTTGGTGTCAAGTTCGCCTAATCACTATTAAGAACTTAATACAGGATAATAAATCTATATTTCCTTACTTCGTCTTATATTTAGGTTTAGTTTTTTTTTATTTTTTATTATTTTTATTATATAGACCTGAAGGGTTTGTTTATTCGATGGCACTATAATCTCCGGAACTACTGATCCTATAGGAATCAAAATCAAAATATTATTTTTGTTGGATAATTATGCTATAAAACATTAGACCACCACAGATGGGGCCCAACAGGATCGATGCCGATTCGGAGTCGCGGAAAACCTAACGGGTAACCGGGGCTCCGGCTCGACGTGCAGGAGAAGGAACGGGGTGATTTTTAGTCAGTAAGAGTCTGACATTCCCTCCCGCCTCACCCAGGTGGGAGCAGACATTCGATGATTTAAAAAAATATATATGTTTATGTTGCAGGCAATCCAATAACAATACCATCGTTGAGTTTACGATTAAAAATAGAAGATCCTTATTTGATGATGATGTTTTGTGAAGATCACTTTGCGATGCTAATGGCGATATCTGGACGGCAACCCACAACTTATAAAGATATTAAGGCAGAAGTAGCAACCATCAAATTTCAAGGAAATGGTAGACCAGTTTGGAGAGATTACGCTGGAGAAGCAGAAAATATAAATTTGGATAGAGAAATAAAACGGAGAGAAGAACAGGATAAATTTCTAGTAGCTGATGAATCAGTTCCTAATGTAGACAAGGAGTAATAGGTGTAGTACAAGTTGTAAGCTAAAGTTATAGTTATTAATTAGGTGTATTTATTTAGAATCAGTTTGTAACAGATATTTTTTAACAGTTAAATTTGTATTAACCTAACTAAACACAATAGCCACATACAATTTGAAATTTCTCCACAATGAGTGGAAGTTTGTTTCAATTTCGTTGAAATTGATACGAAGTATGCAACACAAACATGAGATAAACAAACGAATGGCACAGAAACATCCGTCGTGACGAATATAAAGAACATTCGAACAGTTAACACGACATTTACATCATTTGAAGATCTTGACAAAAGTGCTCGTGGCAAGAAAACATCATCATTTTTCAGACAAACATTATTACAAAAAATATCTAGGAATGTTGTCTCGTGTTAATGTATCTTCAGTATTATTAGTCATATTGTGTTCAGTTACTGTAAATTGTGCAAAAAAAGTAAAAACTAGGCACGGTCCTAGTGGAATGTCCTTCGATGATACAACTAATTGTACAGAATTCTCAAAGTATGGTCGATTCAATCCTTATTCCATTCTCCATGAGAAATGGGTTGTGTTCTTCTATTGGGCTGAGCCGCAACCTTTGACAACTTACATATTCACTTTTCCTACGGCCAACGTAAGTATTGTTTCTTTTATTTTATCAAAATCTGCCATTTACAAAACTCCTTTGCCAGACATGAACCATCAAATATCTCCTAATAATATCCTTACCTATATTGACGACGTATCTTGAAATTAAGCAATACGTAGTGTTTAAATTATATTTACTTAGTTTCTGATAGATATTGACAGAGAAGAATTGAGAAAATATAATCAAATAATATTGCATATTGCAGCATACCAAAAATCTGAAGAAAATTCTGGATGGTAATACAATTTTACCGGTAACGTGGTCAGCTCGACAGATATTGATGGAAGATCATAGAAACGTAGTTACTTTACTAGTGGAACGAGCAGACAGGGGAGAGTTCTGGCGATATCCATTGTACAGAGGTGAATTTTTATATCTTTTGTTTTCTTGAAGAGATAAGAGCTAGCCCCATTTATCTGAGTTGCGACGACGCACGACATCGCAGCTGCGTCTCAAATACAAACGTGATGACTGTCCCGTCGTCTCTTGTTCGTCGATCCATTGAACATAAAAAATATATAGAAAACGACACTGCGACTACACAACGCAGCGCAACGCATAAAATGGAGCCTCGCTCTGATACACTATCTAGAGAATGATAAAGATAGATCAAATATTGGATGTATTTCATCTCAATTTTATGTGGCCAGATTAGAATTGGTGCTTTTTTTTCATTCTCAATACTCTTTTACGGGTAGGACTGAGTTAATTACTCACTGCGATGAGTTACTCTATAATTAATGATCTACGCTAAAAATGTATCATTTGCAGTTACTGGCTCACACAAGATTACTCCTCGAGACGTGCGCTTGAAGCAAACAGGAGATAATCGACTAATAGGCTTCATGGATTGTGCTGTAAGTAATTTTCTTTATTCACGTCTTCCCCGAGAGAACAAAGGTGTGAGTGGTCTTGTGAAATGGACGGAGTGGAGAGAGGCTCCCCTCAGTCCATTACAGACTACATTTAGAGACTACTTTTGTAAGAAGAAATTTTGTTATACAATACTGTAGTAGGTTTAGAAGTTAAAAGGAATTCTGTATTCTTCTTTATGTTCTCACTTCTTTAAAATTTCCCTTAAAACCTCATCCTTTTTAATTCGATTTTATTAGGTTTCATTGAATGTTTTGTGCTTTAGTTGTGGTAGCCCGAAGGTTTAAGGCGCCTGTTTCTCATGCATGGGTGCGGGTTTGAAACCTACCGACCATCAGGCACTTACTAATGTGATTATGATTTCTAATTATTAATTACCCAAACCTATTCCATGTGAACACAGGCCTTGGTCAGCAGGAACCACTTATAGGCTGTTGATGAGAGTGTTTTGAAGATAAACCCAACTAATGTTTTTACAAATAATATTTTCTACCATGTGAATTACAGGTAATTGTTTTTTTTATAGGATGGAACTATGTTTGCAATGGCAAGGATGAATGATGTGCCCCCGAAGAACAGACTAGCGGACGAAGCGGCAAGGCTCGGCTTCAAAGGGCGACGAGGTAAATCCTATCTGTACCAGGGCCATGAATGGCTTCCTATACCAGAAGACGATGAAAGAAACTACTGGCACTACCCTAAAAAGAACAAAGAACAAGAAAAATCATCTAATAAAGTCCAGGAAAGTAGCAAAGAAGAATCAGAAGAAACAAATAAACCAGAAGAGACTGAACAAAAGGATAATTCCGATGACGATAATAAATTGTTTAGCGAAAAACATATAGAGCCAAATTGCGTAAAAATAGAGCCTGAATTATGGAATGATCCGAAACCAGATCCAATTAAAACTGAAAACAAAATATCTATCGAAGATTTACATAAATTAGATGAAAATGAAACAATTAACAATGAAAATACATTACTAAACGAATTATATAATACTACGAGCAACAAAAGAGAAACAATATTAGAAAAAAATGCTGAAAATGTAGAAAATATGAAAAACAGTAGTATAACAAGCAATATCAAACCACAGAAAGTAACCATAAATAATGTAGAAGTAAAGAAATCAGACGAAATCAAAGACGATAAGGGTCATAAAGACAATAAAGTGATATATAAAAAAACAGATAATACGAAGTCAGAAGTTAAGGAAACAGAAGAAAAGAAAGTAGAAGAAAAGAAAACAGAAGAAAGCAAAGCAGAAGGAAAGAAAGTAGATAAGGGAGAAGAAAATACGATAAAAGCAGACGATAAGAAAACTGAAGGAAAGAAAACAAATAACGAGCAAGCAAAAGAAAAGAAAACAGATAATAAGGAAATAGAAAATACAAATTCTAAAGACAATAAAGCAGAACAAACAAAAGTAGAAAAAATTAAGGCACAAGATAAGAAAGCAAAGAAAAAGAAATTAGAAGTAAATAAATCTGAAGGTAAGAAAGTTAAACAATCGGAAGAAAAGGAAGATGAAAATTGTAATGTTTGTTACGATTCATCACCGTCTATGTATACAACTTCTGAGCCTTATACGCCCTCAGATGCCCCACACGGGAAGACTGAACGAGGATTAGAAAAGAATTTGGTATCACCCAACATAGAGACATCTACAGAAATAAAAGGAACGACCAAATTATCTAATGAAAAACCCTTAATAATTGTAAATAATGAGGATAATGTTATCACTATCAAACCTGTTCCACTCACCACAATTTGATTGATGGTTGAATTGGGCATTGTTCGTTTATCCAGGGTACACAATTAAATCGCCAATCTTAGTTATGTCTTGCTGCCACTGCTGAATAGACTTGTATATTATATCAAGACAAACAAAATCAAACGGACACCAGACGCACGCATAAATAAATCCGCCGATTTGCACGCTGCAGGTCACTACGTCTAAAAGTTTGTAAATTAGCGTCTACACCATTCGATTTAATTGGCCAATCTGAAATCAGGTGATACCGACCAACCAATTCATATTTCCATACACATGACCCGATTCGATTGTCAATACAATTGTATCGTCTGATAGGGATTTTTTAATACTATGACTATTATAATGATGATGATGATAAGTGACATATCATCACATGACATCAACAGCTCACAAGTGCGGCACTGATGAGCAAAGGCCTCTTCTCATACAGACAAGGTTTGAGCATTAACCACCACGCTTGTTCAATTACGGGTTATTCGGGTTGGCGATTTCAAACTTATTATTTTATATTCAGGTCTCCTCATGATGTTTCCCTTATCTTTAATATATGTCAATGATGTCTAAATAGTCTTAGAAAGTTGTAATAAATATTACAGTATTATTATATTACGTTGTTTGTTTTTCGAAAAGGTAAAGAGAAATAATTCATCTTCAACACATATTATTATAAGTAGCTAAGCCATAGCCACACACATATAAGCTGTGTAGTGACGATGGAGTAGCATAATATATTTATCACCACCCTATCTGTTCCCGCGGGTATCGTAAAATCTGTGTAACGCCCGAATACTGAAAAGCTGCACTTTTTTTATGGTATAAGCCGGTCAACGAGCAGACGGATGATGGTAAGTAATCGGCGTCGCCCATGGACACCTGGAACACCAGAGGCATTGCAAATGTGTTACCAGCTTTTTGGGATTATTTATTTTTAATTGGGCCTCCAGTAAACAAAACATTGTTTATTTGATTTTGCTAACACTAGATAAACGAAATTTTGCTCTCTGATCGGACCAAGTGAGGTCAAATGAGCCATTCGTAGGTTTTAAGACACATAATATCACGTATGACTGTTTTACGGAAAAATAATATTACAGCTACAGTTTTTCCAAGAACCTGCGTACCCAAGTTGGTTTAAGTAATTGGTTCAAACAATTATTAGCTGTATAAATATTTGAGACTATTGTTACAAAACGACGCCTTAGGGCCTTGTTGATAATAAGCGGGCAATTAACAGAGTAGCTACTTGAAATGTTGCATGAATTATGAATTGAGACCTTACTTAAGTTTGTTTAGGAATTATTTTTAAAATGTGTATGAGTTTTCGTTTTAGTTGACGAGGAATTAATAAAAACGGTTTTCGAATAAAACTACATATTGTTAGATTTAATGATAATACGCTAATGATTGTTGTTAAAATAAACGTTTTATTAATATATAATGTGCATACAATGTACTCGCTTTACAATGCCACAGAGTAGAGAGAAAAAAAAAACAATTGACAACGTCAAGAAAAGTTGACATAGAAAGGCGCGAAATTCAAAATTTAAATTACATTCAACACTCTCCCTGAATTTGAGCCTTACCATAGTTTAACAATTAACAAAACAGAAGACAATGAAAATTCAAATTTAGACACAATCCTAAATAAAGTTAGGGCAGAGCTACAGGTGAACACATGCCAAGTTTAGATCTAATAATACAAAATATATCTTTAGGTAATCCTTTTGTTAAAATATCAGCATATTGTTCATTACTACTAACTGACTTTAATACAATAATCTTTTCATTATATTTTTCTTTTATAAAGTGAAATTTAATGTCTATGTGTTTACATCTTTTATGAAAATTTATGTTTTTAATGACACTGATGGCACTTTGATTATCCAAATGAAGACACATAGAGTCCTGTTTGTATTCACCAATGTCACTTAATAATTGTCTTATCCATATGGCCTCTTTGGTTGCCGCACAAGCTGCCATGAACTCGGCCTCAGTAGTGGACAGGGCCACAGTTTGTTGTCTTTGGCTTGACCAAGTTACAGCTGCTCTGTTCTTTAAGAAGACATAGCCAGTCACGGAACGACGTGTGACCGGATCATTTGCAAAGTCTGCATCACTATAGCCAATGACTTCTGAGGCTTTTGGAGTATGATAGTAACACAGACCATATTCTTTGGAGTCTTTTAAATATTTGAAAATTCTTTTCACTGCATTCCAATGGGTTTGGTCGTAACAATTAAGAAAGCGACTCACCAGACTGACTGCGAACATTATATCGGGTCGACTCACTATGGCCAGATGCATGAGAGAGCCCACAGCTTCCCTATATGGTAGGTTCTTCTCTGGCTCGCCATTTCCTTTTTGTAGCTTCACATGAGGATCGACTGGAACACTGTTAGGGTTAGTATTAGTCATACTAAATTTATTTAACAATTGTTCTATGTATTTAGTCTGATGAATAAATATGCAGTTACTGTATTTTTCTATTTGCATTCCCACAAAGTTTCCTGGTGATTTTAATATTTTGATATCAAATGAATTCCTCAATTCTTCTGTTATTTCAAACAAGGCTGATTCATCGGATGAAAATAATAAACCATCGTCAACATACAGACAAAGGTAACATTTCTTATCATGAACTTGCCCGATATAAACACATTGATCTGCTTTGCTATTCCTAAAGCCAAATTTCTTTAGTGTAGTATCAAATTTACTATTCCAACAACGAGGGGCCTGTTTTAACCCGTAGAGCGACTTGTTAAGTTTACATACCATGTTTTCTTTGTGTTCAAGGCCTTCTGGTGGAATCATATATATGGTTTCTTCAAGTTCACCATATAGGAAAGCAGTTTTTACATCCAATTGTATGATTTTAAGATTATTCTGAACAGCTACAGATAATAATAAACGTATAGAATCATACCTGACTGTTGGGGCGAATGTCTCCTTATAGTCAATACCTGCAGTCTGTGCATACCCTTTAGCACAGAGACGTGACTTGTACCGTAGACCTGTTGGTTCTTCCTTTACTCTAAACACCCATTTGCATCCTATAATTTTGGCATTTGGGGGTTTTTCAACCAATGTCCAGGTATTATTCTTCTGATGAGCATTTAATTCTTCATTGATAGATTTTCTCCATTCTTCTTTATAAATAGAGCTTAAAGCTTCTTTGTAAGTTACTGGAACATCCGACAGCATACACAACATAGCTTCGTATTGGTATAAGTAAGTATCTTCTGCCAAATTTTCAGGATTTTCCTTGGTATTATCTTTCTTTTTTCTAGGTCTCAGTGTTATGTTGCTGGCTGGAGGAGTATCAAATTTTATATCAGGTAAGTATGTGTCATCTGAAGTATTTTCATATGTAGGTTCATCATATATGCTTGTATTAGAATCTTCATCTGAGTTATCACTATTAATCTTTTCTTTTGTTTCAGAATCCTTCTTTTCAGGATTTTCTTCAGATATTTCTACAGGAACATAGTCTCGTTTTACAGTAGATTCAAGAAATACAGCATCCCTGCTTTTAATTACTGTTCTAGAATTAGGTATTATGAAACGATACCCCTTGGTGTGGTCACAATATCCAATGAAGATCATCTTTTGTGCCTTTGGGTCCCACTTCTTACGCTTTTCTTTGGGTAAATGGACCATCGCTTCACAACCAAAGATACGCATATGGTCCACATTTGGTTTTTGACCAGACCACATTTCTTCAGGAGTTTTAAATGAGAGGGACTTAGTCGGGGAACGATTAATTATATAGGCTGCAGTGTGTACTGCATCAGCCCAAAACATTTTGGAAAGTTTTGCATTTAGGAGCATACATTTTGCTCTTTCAATCAGTGTTCTGTTCATTCGCTCTGCTGTCCCGTTTTGCTCCGGTGAGTACGGCACCGTAGTTTGATGTATAATCCCGGCACTCTTCAGGTATTCAGAGAAACTCTTGTTGACATATTCCAAGCCATTATCGGTTCGAAGAATTTTGATATTAGTACTCAACTGGTTCTCAACTTCATTTTTAAATTCTTTGAATTTATTCAGAGCTTCAGACTTATTCCGGAGAAAGTAAACATACACTTTCTTTGAATAATCATCAAGGAATGTTATAAAATATTTGGCACCTCCTAGTGTTTGTGTTTCCATAGGCCCACAAATGTCTGAGTGAACCAATTCAAGAAGACTACTAGACCTCAGGCCTTCCCTTTTGAAAGGTAATCTTGTCTGTTTACCTTGTGTGCATGTGACACATGTCAGATTTTCTGGTTTTTGTGAGAAAGTTACATAGTTAGTATTTTCTGTCATTTTCTGTAGACTTTGGAAATTCAGATGTCCCATTCTTTGGTGCCACAGGTAAATATCTTGTTTATCAACATCAGACATGCATGCATAACCTGCTCCTGGTGTATTCAGCCGGTACATGTTGTTGATAAGACTCGCTGTTGCTACTATCTGACCCCGGTTGTTCATAATAACACAGCCACTTCTGTCAAATTTTACTTGGCCACCACTGTTAATTATCTGACTGACAGAGAGTAAATTAGTTGCCAGTTCAGGAACATACAAGACTTTTGTAAACAGTACTCTTTTGCTTAGGCCTCCATCATCATAGACATCTAGGCTCACTTGTCCCGAGCATTGCACTGTTAACACTTTATTGTCAGCAACTCTTATATTTTGTATGGCAGGAGTTGATACATTTTGTAGTAAACTCTTGTGTTTGGTCATATGTGAGGATGCACCGGAATCCACATACCAAACATCATCCTGAGTGGATGTTGCCACAAACACTGCAGCGTAGGATGAACTATTTGATTTTTGATTTGTGTCTTTGGTTTTGAATTTGCACTCTGGACTTTTATGACCGTACTTATTACAGGTATAGCATCGTGGACCCTTGCTTTGTTTCTTAGTGTTTTTGTGAAACTTTTTGTTTACTGAAAATGCTTTACTTGTGCAATCATTCTCCTCTTTCCTTACTTCCTGCAGTAATT